AAAAAAAAAAAAACCCCCCCCCCCCCCCCCCCCCCCCATGCCGTTTTCAATGATATGCCTCGTGAATGAACGCAACAACTATGGACATCGACCCGCTTCCTTCCATTTCGAACGATAATCACAAGAAGTACGAGTTTTCGGCTATTCCCACCGAGACTGACGGAGTTACATCACTAGCGCAACCAGGTGCCCAAACGAACACAACAACAACCACCTTCGCAAAAATACGCATCCCACTCGACGAATCTGACAGCGTGCCAACCACGAACGCACTTCTCATGCCTACACTCTACCGAAGACATCCAATTTATCATCCATGTAGATAGACCACACTATCGACAAAAACACTTACTTCTCTAGCTGCGCACCGCGGAGTCTCGTTCGCGTCACGCACGGCGGCAACTCTGCTCCCCCACTCGCTTGCATACCCAACACAGCTTCTGTACACAACGTCTGTGTCGCAGAGCGCCGGATATCGCAACACGGCAACCCTCACCCGGCAAACATCCTGGTAGGTATTGCAGTAGCAGCCAACTCCTCTGTCCACATGACAGAACAGAGCGCACTCTTGCTTCCCAATCATGCACCAAGACACCCACTGCAGCAGCGCACGACACGCGCGAGTGTGGAAGCTCCAGAGTTGGTTCCGATACCCAAACGCAGCCGCAAACCCCACACCGCCCCGCCTACGGTCGCCTCAAACACCCGCAGCCACCGATGCTACTCTGCCCCCGACTCCCGGCCTCCACCTCTCGCGAAGCACCATCCGTCCGAAGGTTGCTGCCCTGGCGGTATCTACAATCATGCGTCGCAGAGATTTTCCAGGACGACCTTGAGCTTGTCCAGGGCGGGGCTCTTTCCGTCTCGCTTCTGCACCACGGAGCACAGCTCTTCGAAATCTCTCGAGAACCCCATCTGAGAAGGAAGAAGAGTGCGCGCGATACATGGCGCGACACGAACGTCAGCCAGGGCACGCGGAAAGAGAAGGCGGGCAGGAGGAGGAGGAGGAGAAGAGACATCCAGCGTGTCTCCACTAGACATGTTTTGGGGCGTGATGTGCTTCATGCCGTATGATAGTCACACCTAACCGAGATACCGTGAGTGAAACAAGATACATCACGTTCCCTGGACCGACTTTCACACCCCAATTACTCCACAACAGAGTGGCGGTGCCAAAAAATAGCGCGGCGTTGGCGCCGTCTCGTCGGGAGCTTTCCGAAACGTGAGGTTTGATTTTATATCCTCTTCATTGTGGACAAAACCGAGCCTTGAAAAATGGTCTGGGGAGGGTGGTATCTTGTGTCACCTAGGGTATGAACGCATCGGCAAAGACAACCACTGCGGAGGAAAGCGTTTCATTCCAGCAAGAGACGTGTCAAACTTTATATTCTACGGCAACGTTCCCTTCATTAACACACACCTGGCGAGACGAAAACAGCAGGAGCTGAAAGTCCGACAGCCGTTATTAGGCGTGTCAGACATTACATTCTAAGGCGACCCCCACACACACTAAACACGCACCTGGCGAGACAAAAACAGCAAGAGCTGAAAGTCCGACAGCCGTTTCAAAAAGGACGGCTGCTTTTGCTTCTTTTGGTTCTTTGCTGCCGCCTTGGATCCAATCTTCCCGAAGAGGCACTCCTTGAGGTCAGAAAGGGACGCTGCCTTCGATCGATTCGCCGAAGGGAATCTATGCATTTGGGCACAGCCCCGGCGCAGGTTGACATTGAGAGGGGGGGAGAGGGAGAGAAGGAGAGAATAGAAGAGTGAGACAGACAGACAGGCAGACAGCCAGATGAACCGAAGGGGGAGATCGAGAGAGGCAGGCAGAGAGAGAGGGGGGGGGAGAGAGAAGATAGCGAGAGACAGAGATAGAGAGACAGAGATGCACAGAGAGAGAGAGAGAGAGACAGATCAACACGCTACACTTAGCGTCGAAACTAACGTTCAGAATACACGCCGCCTACTCTATTTCTTTGAGGAAACCACACAAGCCCGTTGGGCAGAACAGCCCCCCCGCATACCGCCCACTGCACCGCACGAACAGCGAACGACACAAAAAATCCGGAGGGGCGCCGTAGCCCGGTCCCACCTCGTCTGCAACACCCCCTCGTGCTGCACGATAGCCACGTTGCAGATCAGTCCGAGCGTCTCCGGTGTCATTGTTTCCTTGCTTCCCTCCTTAACCGCCACCGTAGTTGTTACCCTAACCCAGAGCCAACGCAAGCCACGGAAAGCGAGGGGGGTTGGGGGGAAAGTACTGTCAACAACGGTTCTCGTTTTGTGCGCAGGGCAGGCGAGGCAGGTGGTGCCTAGGCACACGACCACAAGCTGGTACCGTCGCCGCTGACGACGCCGGAATAGACTTCAGGCAGTCAGCGCAGGATCAACGGGACCGGGCTCGCTACGCCACGGCCACGGTGGGACTACCAGATAGGCGGCACAACGCAGCAACTTCACGGACGAGAAAAAAAATAACGAAGCCTCAGCAGTGAAAAAAACGCAGCAAACGGCAGAAACCGCCCCGCGCAAACCGACGCACAGCAGCAGCTGCATCTAAAGAAGAGGGGCACTTTTGTGATTCGCTCGGTCCTGACTTGGCCTGAGCGCACGTACAGTGTCACAAAGAAGACACGCACATCAATAGTTGTGCTGCTCTGAGTAAGGCCGCACGGTGCCAAGGGATTGGGCCGGCGGGTGTTCTGCCGAACCAATGGACATTTCTCGAGGGCATGAACGACATAGCTCGAATATCACATTGGTGTGTCGCAAGGTTGTCACCGGTCTCGAACAGGGCGACCGGCGCTAAATTTGGCGCGACCTTGTACTGGGATCACAACTGCGCTACAAAGGCAAAAAAATCGTACTCTTTTATGGTAAGAGTGGCCTCACTTGTCCGCGGTTGGTTCAGGCTGGTGGTGCCCAAGCACCCCCTCGCTGAACATCTGCACGGTCTGGTTGCTGACGCTGAAAGCTTCCGTGGCGATCTTTTGTTTTTTTTTGGGGGGTGTGTGGGTGTTCGCGGGCGCACAGGGTCAACAACGGAGGCGTGAATTTGAGTACATGTGCAAGGGAAGATTGGGTCTACACGCTCGTTGAATATGAATGTCCGATCCAACCCCCCACCTGGTCGCTCACTTTTCGCTTTTTGCCGTGCAACGGGTGTTGTCATGCAAACAGACGATGGAGGCACACACGAGAACGTTGAACACCAACACGCGAAAATTTCCAATCACTACAGAACGCACCACCACTTTGAGGACCTCTATTTAGTTCGGCCGAGGGTGGGGTTCTTTAACGTTTTCCTAGGGTCATGCTACGAATGGTCGCTAAATAGGTTTTAGTGTAGGGCTTCTTAACTGACCGAGCTCACAAATGGTGCTCAGGTTCTTAAACTTTTGATATTCTTGAGGCTTAACATCTCAACTCCTTAGTTCTGAAGTGGTGTCGCGTTCTGTACTGCGCCAACACGAAACGTCACACACTAAAACATTCCAGTCCCTATTGGCTCAAGAAAAAAGACGATTGACGCCCTCTCGAGTGGCGCCAACTGTCACCGGCGGCCGTCGGCATCACCGCCCACCAACATGCGATGTGTAGCTGAGCGAGCACACATCGAACAGCAGCACCGTCGCCACGAACGCTCGGCTGCAACAAGCCAGCTATCCCTGTGGTATTTTTTCGGGTGTTTTTTTTTACACCTCTAGCTTTAAAATCCCAAAAGAACTAAAGGATCGATAGGCCTTTGCTTTAACAGTTCGTATTTCGTACGTACCTCTCCACTTGTCGCGTTGACCGGCACCGTCACCGTGGCCACGAAAACGCCTTCCTCCTTGCCCTTGTCCGCCATCGACATGAGCTGCAGGGCGGACGCCGTCGCCACGTCCGCGGCCGCCATGAAGTGCTCCCTCTTGTTGGAAAAAAAAACAGAACAAGGAAGCGACGGAGGGCGAATGCTGTCGGGGTTGGACCCCAGCAACAACACGAAAATTTCCGGGGCTTTATCGGCGTGGCACCTCCCAGTCGCTAACGGTGTTCGTGAGACGGAAGCAAAACGTAAGAGTATCTCAAACAAAAGACAATGGTCAGCACAAACCTTAAAACCGAGATCAAACAGACGTGAAAACAGCCGACCAGCGGGTGAGCTGCGAAACTCCCGTGGATGGGAGAGAGGCAGGGGGGGACCTCTCATGGCGCGCTGCACGAGCCTTGTGGCGCACAGCCTTACCCTGCCGCCAAGCAAGCGCACAATGGCAGAACAACGCCGCAACTTCCGCCGCGGTCCAATCGTTATTGCGCCCTCCCTCCCATTGCAAGGTCAATGGTCTAACGACTACGGCATGCACGACTATGAGTGCAGCCCCCCCCCCCCTCCTTTACCCATTCCCCTTCCTTTTCTTATCCTTCTTCACCTTGTCGTGGCTGAGGCAACATCCCACCAAGCGCAAGCCCAAGAGCCCCGCCACCCTCACAGCCCGGGCAACGTCCGCCGCCGCCGCCGAGCCTTCGGCCTCGAACTCCCCACTCCCACCATCTTCTAGCGTCGCCGCCTCCACCGCCACCCTGGCAGCCTCCGCCAGAGCGGACGGATCGTACGTGCTGCTGCTGCTGCTACTACTACCTCCCTCTCGCCGCTGCGGTTGCTGCTGAGGGGGCTCGTACATCGCCTCCACCTTGATGCTGTTGGTGCTTGGGCTGACGCGCCCGAACAGCAGGGCGCACCGGTGCTTCCCGAGACCCGTCTGCTTGAGATATCTGCTCGAAGGAGGCGTCGTCGAGCAAAGGGTTGGGGCGGAGGGAGGCCTTAAGGAAAGCGGGTAGATTTTTTTGTGCTGCTGCTGCTGCTCGAGAGGTGTGGTCATTTTGGTCCGGCACGTCGTCAGCTGTGAAAACGCATATGACCCTCGCACCTACCTGTGTTTCCGAAGGAGCGCGTAGCTCGTGCTGGTATAAGTTTGTCGGCAAACCACACACACGAGAGGTATAATAAGTCAATGCTGTCAGCGTAAGAGCAGAGGTACCTTGAAGTGCATGGCGAGAGGTTCGAAAGAGGAGCCCCGCAAATGAGGGGCGCTCGAGGGGGGGGGGGG